TTTTTTTTTTTTTTTTTTTTTTTTTTTTTTTTTTTGTATTCAAAAAATTAGTTTCAGAAATATCGTACGGTCAAAGGATTTAACCGGGATTTACAATACGGGTCTATTCAAAAGTCAAACTGATTAACTTCGTTTCCCGTCGAATTTTCAATTTTCGCGCCGAAATCCAATTTCGATATCAACTCGCAGTAATAATGCCGCGTAATAATAACAATTCGGAAATTATAAATTCATCTCGACACGGTTCGGCTGAACTGGTTATAAATGTTACTTCGGTGATTTCGCAAGAATCTCGTTTCTTGGCGGATCGATATCGTTCGCAATTAAAGGCAGTTTAAACCCCATTAATTAATTAATTAATCAATCAATCAATTATTTGTACGTAATTATTTTCGGTCTGACGAGCCCTGTAGCAGTTCTGTCGCGCGCCAATCCACCATTTCTGAGAGTTTCATTTCATCGCGGGCGGCAATTGCCGTGCCGCGTGCCACGTTCTCAGAACTGTTGACACCAATTACCGGCAAAACATCTATTTCCGACGATGATACCGTCGCCGTTTCACCGATAGAAATTTTAAACGGAGAAGCTTGGAGGATATTGCTTCCCGTGGTCGTGGTCGTTCGCCTCCTCTAGCTAAACTTTAACGCTAAATTTGTACTCCGTACTTTGGTGAACTTACATCCAAAATTCGAGAGAGAATCGCGATAGAATTTCTTTTAATGAAATTTTTATATAATATCTATCCGAATTATCGCTTATGAACATTTTTGTAATATAAGATATTTGCGATGCTTATCGAAAAATGAAATGAAAAAAAATGTTTATAATCAATACAAGTGAAAACAATCCTTTCCTTGTAAAATCAACTTTGATCATTTAATGATGATTCGTTTCGTTGAATTTACACGGTTATTTGCCATTCCCGCGATAAAATAATGAATGGAAATTGTTAACGGTATGAAAATAATAATAAAATAGCCGTCGAATTGGATAAATATTGAAGATTCCTACTATATTTCCGACAAGATAATCTTTATTGATATTGGTACATAATAATCTTGTATTTACAAAATTTCGAATCAATATTTCTCCATATATATATCGAGAGTTAAATATACGATCACGATTTCTTTTCAATATAACTTTTTAAATAATAAAAATTTATGGATAAATAACAATATCTTTTCTTTTTTTTCTTTTTTTATCATCCTATTTACAATTCCTATCGATCGAACAAAAGATCGCGTAGAATTACACGACATATACTTGACAAGCTCGCGAAATAAAAAAGAAATCGATTAGATAAACGAATATTAAATAAAAGAAAGGGGGAAAAATTAACAAGACGAACGCGTGAGGGGAGGGACAAAAGAGGCGTATAATATAACGCGAGAGAAAACGGGAGGAAACAAGCGGGAAAAGAACGATCGAACGGAGAGTAGTGTTTGGGCTGGCTTGGT